GGTATGATTATAACAATTAACTTAGAAAAAGCCTTTGACAAATTGAAGCCGTTTTTCATCAGGGACTCACTCTTTTCTTAATTTTCCACTAGGATAATCACACTAATTATGTCTTGCGTATCTTCTAGTTCTATCTCTATCCTAGTCAATGGTACTCAGACTAACTACTTCAACCCAAGTAGGGGTATTAGGCAGAGAGACCCCATCTCTCCATACTTATTCATTATATGCATGGAAAGACTATCAAGAAATAATGAGAATGTTGTAATTGACAAGGATTGGTTCCCTATCAACATCAGCAGGGGGAGGGCCTAAAATCTTTCACATGTTCTTTGTCAATGATCTAACACTGTTTGCCAGGGCCAACAGGAAAAATTGTAGAACCATTTTAGTTTCCCTTGAGGAATTCAATGTTGCTTCTGGGCAGAAGGTCAATTTCCAAAAATCTAAGGTCATTTTCTCTTACAACTATAAAGAGGACTGGGTCAGCATATGCAGCTCTATCCCAGACATTAAGACTGACTCTATTTTTGCCAAATACCTAGGTTTCCCCATTTTCCATAAAAGGCCTACCAATAGACTTTCAATCCATTCTTGACAACCTCAATACTAAGCTGGCAGGCTAGAAAACTAAGTTTTAAAACATGGCTGGCCACACTACTCTAGCAAATTCAAGCTTGGGTAGTATCCCCAGCCATGTAATAAAATACATCCAAATTCCTTCCTATATTACCAGCAAATTGATAGGATTCTAAAGAACTTCATCTGGGGCATCATTTCTGCTAAAAGAAAGCTTCACATAGTTAAATGGGACGCTGTTACCAAACCTAAGAATGGGGGGATTAGGATTACAACACGCACACTTGAAGAATAAGGTTCCACACCATTCTGGCAAGGAGATTATACCACAACACTAACTTTATTTGGGCTAGAGTTCTCATGGTTAAGCACTGTAGTGGAACAGGGAATAGGGCTAAGGCAAAAACTAGAACTTGGCAGTGTATCCAAGAAGGCTGGAAGGTTTGAAAAAAGGCTTCTAGGTGGGTGGTTTACAAAGGGGACAGGGTTAACTTCCTAGCACACACCTGGACACCTAACATGCAACCTCTCAATACCATCTTCAGAGGGCCATGGCAGCAGGCAGATCTGAACAGGAAGATCAATATTATGTATTGCAATGGTGTATGGGACTTTACTCCCATCCTCCATCCAATATCTCAAAATATCAACACCATCATCCAAAGCACCTTTATTCCTAATACTACTATGGTTGATGACAAACTAATCTAGAACCTCAATTCCAATGGACTGTTTAGTGCTAGGTTTGCCTATTTTTTCATAGACTCACCCATGGACCACAATTCTATCCAAGATGACCACTTTAGTTGGATTCGGAAGCTAGGGGGCCTAAACAAAATTAAGTTCTTTATTTGACTCATGCAGCAGAATAGACTGCCTACAGGGAGACACATGCACCACATAGGCCTAGGCCTGAGAATCAACCCAAATTGCTCCTACTATGGAGCTTGGGTGGAAGACACCAACCACATGTTCTTTGAATGCACTAATCCAAAACAATTCTGGCAAAAAATGTTGCAACAATGCACCAACCTGCCAACCCTTACTCTCCCACCCTTTTTAATGCTAAATTGGGAGGAAACCTCGCAAAAGCTAAAAAAAATGTAGATTTTAATGCTTGCATTAGTTGGAAACACCTTCTGCCTTTCTGTTTCTGAAGCATTTGGCTAACCAGAAATGTCTTTGATAGGAAGAAAAATCACATTAATGTGAACCAAACCATTGCTAGGGCAGTTGAATATCGCCTTATGGATGTACCCCACAACACAAGAATCATATACCTTAAGTGGCAGCCACCAAATGCTGGGTTTTACAAACTAAATACTGATGGGGCTGCATGTACAACTATGGGCAAATGGAGTATTGGGGGGTCTTCAAGAATAACAGGGAGACTGGGTGTTGGGCTACATGAAGGGCCTTCCAAATATAGATAGTATAATGGCGGAACTCTAAGGCCTTTGTCAGGGCCTAAAATTGCGCTGGATCAAAAATTAACACCCCTTGTGATAGACACTGATTCTGAAATAGTGTTAAAAATGTTAAAACATGGTAATCTGACTCATAATCCCATCATCTCTGAATGCAAGTATCTGATGGTGCAACTGAGGAACCTAGTAATAGGCCATAACTATCATGAGCAAAACCAAGTAGCGGATCTCCTCGCCAAGGAAGGAGCTAGAGAGAAAATTTTTGAAAGAACTAAATTTTTGGCAGTTCCTCTGATATTTGCAAACGATGCAGTATGGGCAGACATCCTAGAAACTGTATTTAAAAGAAAAATTATTGTTTGTAATAGTAACACAATGCTAGACATTGATGAAAGCTCTTAAGGGAGCTCGTCCCTCCCTTATATAGATATATATATATATATATATATATATATATATGTATATGTATATATATATATGTATATGTATATATGTATATATATATATATGTATATGTATATATGTATATGTATATATGTATCCAGTTAACCAAAGAAAAAAAGACATCCACAATATCATTGTTAGGTCCCTACCATGTGGAGTGAAACGTCACAACATACTAGATTATTGTTTTAGTGCTAAAATGTTAGGCCTAGCATTCATTTACAGAAGGACCAGATGGGTTAGTACTGGTTATGACACTTCATCAGACCTTGTTGCGGCCAAACGTATATACAAATGTACGCGGTCGTCAAGTAATAAAGTGACTAAAAGTTGGATATCGAACCCTCGAGAACTTTTTATCAATTATTAATTAAATTAGACTATCCTAATTATCTAAACAAGGATTAAAACCAAAAGTGGTGATTCTAAACTAATTAAACTGAAGAAAAAAAATAATGAACTCTCAACAAAAGAAGAGCGGACTTTTATGTTATCAATGTGATGAATATGATCTAGGATTATGAGCTATCTAACAATCCTATTGTAATCTTCAATTAAATTGACTAATTAATTTATCTGATTTACTGGTTGACGGGGTTAATACTACTCACAAGAATTTATCGAGTTCATACCCGCCTATTCAAGCTAACTTAACGCCTATGTGTCTATAGACTTAGAATCAACAAGAATGCATTCGTAATTCTCGTATAATAACCAAGCAAAGCAATTAACATATGTTTATCCTAACCGCAAATCCATTCCCTGGTGCCCAGGTTCAAGAAGTTGCTCTACTAAATTCAATGTGCAATCTAGAATTATCACTTCCGAGTTCAATTCTAGGTTCGTAGATAGTATTTAATTGGTGATCAAGTAATCAAATAATTAAGCACAGGATTGAATAAATAAACAAATATAGTAAATCAACAAATCAAAATCAATATTCGGATAACAATATTCATGGAAGAATCACAACCCTAGAACGTGAAGTTTAGCTCCACATAGACATGATAGCTAAACAATAAATCATACAAAAAAACATAAAAATTACTAATTTTGGTGAAAGAAAGATGAAATTCGGCCTCCACGGCAGTTCCGTGCTCGTGTTTTTTTCTCAAAGTGGCTTCCCCACTTCCAAAAATAGGCTTAAACTTCTTTTTTAGACGAGTTGGAGGTGTGTAGAGCCGTCAAAATCTTGTCCTGAGTGAAATAGGAGAATTTCCGTTACCCAGCGTCCAGGGTAGCGCGTAGCGCTAGCCTTGGCGCTGAGCTGCGCCAGAAAAAACTTCAGGTCTGTAAGTTGCGCCACGGGTAGCGCGATGCACTACCCCGGGCGCTACACTGGCCCATTTTTTCGCTTTTTTTTTTTTTTTTTTTGCTTCAAATCATGCACTTTCGTCCCACATTGCCTCCGGGTGACTCATACACGTAAAAATACCATACATTAGAATAAATTATTATATTACTCATCCAAATTCATCAAAATATGAGCAAAATAAGATGCTACATGCATATAAATACATATACTTTATACCGAATATCAGACCATTTTATCTGTGACAAGATATCTGACAAACTTTCCAGACTAGTGAATCTTACATTTATAGACCCCAAAGTAGTCTTATTCAACACTAGAATATTTGACGAAATTATAAGAGTAGAGAATCTTACATTTATAGACTCCGAAATAAGAAGTATAGGAGAATCAATAACAAAGATTGGTGAGAGAGCAATCACGAATACCAACAATAGATATAATAAGTTTTTTTTTAAAAACTTTGTTTATCTTTAAGCTCACGGTCACACTTTGAGAAAATGATTTTATTTATCTCTGATATTTAGATAATATGTAGTAATATATAATAGCATTGGAAGAATCTTACACCTCAATTTTTAACATTTATGTTAAATATGTCACTTTAGATTTGTTTATAGAACATATTCTGCTATGATATATTTTACAAATTAACAAAATATTTGCCTAATTATTGAAAGAACTCTTAAGTACTTAATATAATCTTTCTTAGAAATAATTGTATATCTGATATTTCTTAAAAGGTTAAGATTCTTAGTATAAAACTACAAGATGAGAAACAACTTTTGGAATAAAAGAAAACAGCATACTCATATTTCATTTGTCTTTCTTTGCCTAATTTCTATACACATAAGTGTATTTGGTGCAAAAAAATGGTTTAAAATTTATTTCCTTAATAATAAAGGAAAACTCTTTGTGTGTTGATCCTACCGACTATGAAGTACAATACTCCTCTGTCCAATCTTCCAAGGGAGATAGCAATTGCTTAACACAAAACTCACTATAATTTCAGGTTATGGGTTCAGAATTTATATATATATATATATATATATATATATATATATGATATCTTGCTGGATTGAACTCACAACACTAAGGCTGTGGGATTCATAACCATAAAGAGTACGAGAAACGGAAGTTATGCATTTATATATATTAGTAATATATATCAACCATAAAGAATCTCGACTTATAAAGAGTGAAAGATATATTATTAATTCCATATCACTAAAAGCAAGTACAGAAGAATGTAACGAAATTATTATTCTTTTCATTGTATCAAAACTACCAAATTGAAGCTCATCAAAGTTCCCCTCAGATTAAAAGAGAGATCACAATTCGCAACTGAAGAAGAAAACAAAAAAGAAGAACCATAATACTCCTAATAAAAGAGTAATAGTTCTAATACAACAAAATTAAAAAATCCATTTCAATAATCTGGAAGCTCCTTCATACTGGGCATGAAGAAGAACGAATCCGTGTAATTAAAGAGTGATTGAGCTGAGCACAAAAAATCAGCTTGATCAGTAATATCACCAAAATAATTATGATTAACATTTTCACTATTTGTATCTTTAATTTCACTAACCAGCTGAATATTCCCTGCATTATTGCAACTGATGCTTTTATTTTCATCCGACTTAGACTCATTTTCAACTTTCGCAAAAACCCCACCTTTAAAATCATTGTTATCATTGTAATCAAGATGATAATTATTTGGCTCGGACTTGGGTGAAGATGAGAGGTCTTTTTCGGAACGAGAAAAGCCAGTGAGTTTTGGACTAATGCCATAAAATCGCGAGGATGGGTACGAATTATTTTGGGAGAATGAGTGTAAATTATAACTGGATGGCGTTGTTGCTGCTCAAATGATGGTTTCTTGATGTGACAAGAGTCCCTGTTGATCTTCAATGGAGGGCTCATGGTTATTTAAATTTGTAACTTTATGTGTAACTCTGGAGAATATTGTATGTAGTAAAATGCATGTGTTACGTAAATTAATATATAGAAAAGGGAAAGAGTACTAACACATGTGAAAGAGATAGCTGGATATATGTGAGAGTATAGTGGAAGGTTTGTTGGGAGGATATGGTGTCGCAGTGTCAAATTCAGCTGATTCTTAGGGAAAACGAGGTTATTAGTTTAGACCAGGAGACATCATGCATGCTCTCCTAGGATTGCTCGTGATAATCTTCTTAATTCAAACGGCTAAAATTTATGATGTTTACACCAAGTGAACGAACATATTATATGATATATGGCTTCATCCACACTATTATCATTAAACTGTAGCTCTCACATTATTAAAAATTAATATGATTTGGTGTAAATACGGGATGCGCGCTTTTACCATTCAAACGTGTCTTTAAGCTCCCAAGCCAAGTGATGTTTCGTTTTCTTTTATAGATACAATGTAATTGCAAAATTCTTACAGAAACTATAAGCTATTTACGAGTGCGATAAACTCATTTCCCTTGTGTCTGTAACTAGTCAACAACACTTTTGACATGGTGTATGGATTTATATGTAAAAGTTTACTAAAATTTTAATAATCATTAGATTTGAACCCATAATTTTAATAATACAATAAATATTTTAAAAGTTGAACTCATAAAATTTAAATTCTGGATCTGCATGTGGTCCCCAACAATTACATGTGTTTGGGTACATGTTTTCAGAAGAAAAGGTCGACAGTGTTGGGTTTATTATGAAATCCAGGTCCTTGAAACTCACGATTTTGTCCTCAACCCTTGATGGGCTGTGAATGTCCAAACTAAATTAAACCCAACGAGCAAGACGGATTTGAAATTCAAATTCGAGATTTTCCTTGAAAGATTTAGAAAGGAATATATCCAGCTTTAAAAATGCAAGGTCCATTATCTTTACTCCCCATTAAATCATTTAACAAAATTGATTAAGTAATACTCACTCAACTCTTCAATCTTCATGCTACGAGCGAACTACTAAACCATTTTTGTTACTTTTAGAGGACATTGGATAAAATTGGAACTAAACCATTAGAAGGTTTCAGTCTTAAAATTGAAGAAAAACAATAGCTGATAGAGAATATGATTATCAGAACAGAGACTAATTACATTTAAAAAATTTCCATAAATTTCTTAGTTCTGAGGTAACTATAAAGCTAACAACATCAGAATTTTATACCATGGTCATTTGTTCAAATCAATAGCTGAAATGTTCCTGTAATCAGTTGCTTTCATCTTCCTGCCAAAGCCCACCTCATACCATGATAAGGATTTCCTCTCAGCAGTGTAGATGGACTACCAAAGCTGCTACTCTTTTTTCCTTTGATTTTTTTTAATATAGCCAACAACAAAAGCACATCACCCTGCCTGTACATCGCTCATGTCAGAGTTCGACATTACATGAACATTCAACCATCAGATAGCCAGAACAAAATATGTGGAAATTTCAAAAGATTAAATCAAATGAAATGGAAAATTTCAAGAGCTATAAGAATTGCTCTTTTTAAGTCAAAATGAAGACAAAATCAGCTCATAAGTACAGCAAATGGGCACTTGTATCCTTCCAGCAGGCACATGTAATTGAATTGAAATATTTGAGATGCTAAAAACCAAATCCCTTGTTTAGTACAGCACACAAGAGTCTGAGATTTCAGGTGATGAATTTCTAAATTCAGGTGCTTTCCAAATGGTCNCCCCCCCAAAGAAAAAAAAACTGGTGCCGACACTGTTAAGCTAGGTGATTGAACACATTTAACCTAGGCGATCACCTCTGGCTGTCTGATAAGGCATTGTACTCAGAATTGGAACTGAAGTTGCAAACTTAGCACGATTCAGTCATTTATGTACCTCCACAAGTCTTAGAGATAAAGTCCTAAATCAGGCAACCATTATCTACGTGATCTTTGGCTCCAATCTTCTTCATCCCTTCCATCACGGTGGATGCGAGCTCGTTTGTCCCGGTCCCTGTTATCTTTTTTTTCAGATTCATATCTTTTTTGTCTTCTTTCATCCCTCCTATCATCATATTCCTTTGAAGTCGGTACATCATCATGCTTTCTTGATTTTCTCTCAGTATCTTCCCCTGAATTCCCTACATCATCATACCTCCTAGATCTTCTCTCCACATGTGACCTATCCAGATCTTTGTAATTACCATCCTTTCCTTTTAGTTCTGACCTGTGCTGCTCGATATCTCTCTTATAATGATCTCTTGCAGTCAAATCTCTCTGCTCGTAGTGCCTTTCTACATCACTGATTCTTGATTTAGAATTTCTTGGATCTTCATCGACTTTGACCTTTTCCTGGTGATCAGGTCGTGGAGGCCGACTCGATTGCCCAAATTTCTTATCCTTCTTAGAATCCTCAAACCCGTCATGCGACCATCTCTTAGATTGTCGATCTTCATCAGCACCCCAGCCTGTGTTTGCAGCTCTCTACAGACAAAAAGAAAAGGAATAAATACCCTAAAATTATAAAATACGAACTTCAGATCTTTGAATTATAGAAAGCTGAAAACTCCAAATGGGGAAAGAGGGTCAATAGATTTAAAAAACACGATAAGAAAAGAAAGTTCTGCTTTTTCCTCTTTCATTTTTACTGGAAACTCATATGATCGCATTAGTTAGTTAGGCTTAGAAGAATCTGCAGACAATTTGGCAAAAAGGACGCTGCTTCTCCGCCTCCTTGAGAAGTGACTAAAATTGAATATCTACCTATCCCCGGCCGCTAGAGAAATCAGAAATGATTAATTTATGAGCACAAACAATCCAACCCACCCCCATCTCGGAATCCTTTCCTGCTATCAGGCTCTCATAACCATGCTAATTCTCAGGACCCCCCCCCCCCCCCCCCCCCCCCCTCCAAAACACACAAACACCCTCCCTCAAACTGTAATCGTTCTTCATGCCAAGGTAGTTGGGTTTATGGATTAGATATTGGAAGAACGTGGTGGAATAGTTAAGTTATATAGATATGGGCATATGATCTTCTAGCAGCTAATCTATTTGTTTGTCCATGATGACTTTGCAAAAGCCGTACTGGATTTACTAAAACACTTTCCTGGTAAATCACAAAAAATTTAGGTTTAGCAGTACTGTCAGACTCAGTTTTGTTAAAGGCTCGTCTGAGCTAGGCGTAGCACAGGCGTGAAACTTTGCCTCGCTTAGGTGGCATTTCAGTGCAGCACCAAGGTGGTAAGGCATGCACCTCATATTACCCACGGGTCATCTTGAAGAGGACTGCACTAAATTATGAATATGGTTGGGAAAATGGAATATTAATTAGTAAAGATACGTTATGAATGAATATGCTAACAATTAGTAATTCAAAATTACAAACTTATAAGAAACATAGACATAAAAGTCGAATTAGAAACTTAAACTGCACTTTGTATCTGAATCAGAAATTTAAATTTCTAAGTTAAATTTTTCATTTCCTTTATTCATATAATTAATGTTTGCAGTTATAATGATTTTTCCTAGTGTTACATATATACTTTCAGTTTTCTTCAATTGTATCTTTTTTAATAAAGTACTCACTTCAGCTGAGCTTCGCGCTTAAAGACCCAATAGGTTTTGACGCTTTTAATGTGGTTGAACTCAGACATTCTTAAATTCTAAGCCTCAAAGTGGAGTGTATATCCCATAACTAAACATGGATAGAACTCCAGAGAAACAAGCAACGCATCAGAGTTTACTGGAAATCAAAGGTGATACTCTGATACCTGAGGTTGTATATAGAAAATGGATAATCCAACCCATCAGGACAGAAGTTTTTCCCATCACTAAATTCAAGTATTATTTTTCACCGCTTTCTTCCTTCCAACTCCAAATTCTCATCTGAACAGTAATTTATGGCACATGGTTAAGTTAAAGCTGCTTCCGCTGTCTTTTTTCTTTGGTGTGGTTG